GGGGGAGCATTTGGGGGGGATTTTTTTTATTCGGTCCAAAATCGGCCTGTAGGGGGACAGGCCCAACTAAGAGGTACGTCCGACGCGTATCATGAGAACGCGCGGTAAGGATGCAAGGCCCTTGGAAGCCCAGGTTGAAGCGCATCGAGCCAGGGATTGCCTCGAGGTGGGCCAAGCAGTCCAGGATGCAAGGGTGTCCTTGGGAGCGTCACTCGGCCTTACCATGCGCGCTGAGTGCGGGAGAAAAAGATGAGGCGGGGAAAGGAGGGGGACGACAACTAGCAGGAGAGGCTCAGGTGCAGAAGATCGTGGCCCGCGCTGGGGCGAGCGCGCCATGCTGAACGACGGGAGCAGACCGCCGATCCTAGAGTGAGGCCAATGCTGCAGCGGCAAAACACCATCTTGAAACAACGATTGCGCTCCGAGTGGTGATCGTTGTCTTATCCATTGCTTTGCCGATCGGCGCGGGCTCTCGCACCCCCTCCCCCCCATGGCACGGAGTAGAGTAGATCTTGGCTGGTTGTGGCGCCTGTGTCGAGTAGGTAGACGGCTCGCCATTTGATTCCTCACGGGAGCATTGTTCCAAACAGTCGCACTAAGCGGAGGCGTGGAGCCAGACGCCCCCCTTCTGCCCGATGTCGAAAGCCAGATAAGAAGCGTCGAATGCCCAATCTCGTCTCCATTGCGGAGAAGTCTAGAAATCACTTCTCCTTCAAAGGCAGTGCGCGGAGGGAAGCGGGCAATTCCCCAGTCGTCTTCAGGGGGGAGAGGTAAGTAGCATTCCTACTGAGTGACTGTGGATGGGGGGACAGCCAGGCGGAAGAGGCGGTGGGGGGCTGGCGGAGGGCGAGGGGGAGGGAGGCGAGGACGGGAAGTGGGGGGAGAATTTGGCAAGGGGCACCCGGGGGGTTCGCGTTCGGTTGAAGCTCGACCTGGGGCGCAGGCCGTGAACTGGGGGGCGTCGCGCGGCTGTTGGGATGTTGCCCTTAACCAATCGAACCTCTACCAGGATGCTGGATACATATGAGGAAGCAGGCCTGGGCGAGATTTGGATACGCACGTGGCCACATGTCTTGCCAGCGCTCGGGTCTCGTGTGGCCAAGCACGGTGGTCTTCCACACGCATATCCATCAAGTGGCCTCCAGACCCGCGGGGTCCGAAACCCGGATAGCAAGGCGCCCGAAGGACGTGGAGAGGCTTGTCGAGAAACTC